GATTTTAAATGCTGCCATCGGAAGTTCCAGTAGATTTCAGCGGAGAAGATTCCACATGATTTTGGTGGATATTTCAGATGCTGTCAACGAATTTTCCAGTGGATTTCGACAGAGGAAGCTCCACACGATTTCGGTGAAGATTTAAGATAAAGCCAACGAAAGTTCCTCTGGATTTTGACGGCGTTTTCTCAAGCTCTCGGCGGAGGGGATTCCGCACGATGTCGGTGGAGATTTAAGATGCAGACATCGGAAGTTCCAGTAGATTTCGGCGGAGAGAAGTTCCACATGATTTCGGTTCAGATTTCAGATGCTGCCATCGGAAGTTCCAGTATATTTCGGCGGAGAAGGTTCCACACGGTTTTGGTGGAGATTTCAGATGCTGTGAACAAATGTTCTGGTGGATTTCGACAGAGGATGCTCCACACGATTTCGGCGAAGATTTTAGATGAAACCAACTAAAGTTCCTGTGGATTTTGATGGACTCTTCAGAAATTCATCCAAACATCTGTTAGTTGTTTCCTGAGTCTTTCTGCGATTTTCCAAACTGTAACAAAGCTCCTTGTGATTCTAAAGCCTGCAGATCTTTTTTGAAATTCAGGAAATTCAACTTAAATGTGCAATACTACCCTGACGTGCTCCAAACATGTATGAAGCTCTCAACAGAGCTGGTAACGAGATTTTTTTTCAAAAAAATGTCACTATGAAAACGTACGGGGGAAAAATGTCGTGACACTTTCTCCGCACAAGTTCTATGACATTTGCCGTCAGAACTTGTCTGGAGTTTGTTGAACTTATATAAATTCTAGAATTATCAGGAAGATAATGAAAAGAAGGAGCAGCTAAGTGAGGTTATCTTTCACCGGCTCTCACTCTCAATCTGGTTGCACTCTACGCTCAATATCGCAAAATTTATCATTTCAAGACCAACAATTGAAATGGCCTCAACTCCATTTTGTAAACAAACCTTGTAAGGCCATTTCCTCGCGAAGGTTTGTTTACAAAATGGAGTTGAGGCGATTTCAATTGTTGGTCTTGATTTGTCTGCCCGGTCAGACTTCGCCCTTCAAGACCAGTTTCCTCATTTACTTGCCCCGATTGAATTTTCTTCTAGGTGAGGTTTGCCATTAGCCTTCCCCAATCGAACCTTGTCCGTCGCTTAAGCGTCTCCCTCTTTTGAGCCGATATTTCTCATTTGCTTGCCCCTACCGGATCATGTCGATCATTTAGACGTCTCCCTCCTTCATGGTTAGATTTCTCATATGCTTTCCCCTATCGGACGTTGACCGTCACTTGGAAGTCTTCTTCCATCAAAACGAGATTCCCCAATTTCCTGTCCCGATCGGACCATGTCCGAAAATCCGATTTCTCATTTGCCTGCCCACATCGAACGATTTCCGGCACGGCACTGAAGTGCCTGCCTCCAATCGAACCTTGTCTGTCGCTTAGGCGTCTTCCTCATTCATGACTAGATTTCTCCTTTATTTCCCGTCACTTTGGCGTCTTCTTCCATTTCTCAAGGTTCTTCAAGGTTAGATTTATCTATTTCAATTGAACCATGTCCGTCGCTGAAAGGTCTCCTGCCATCGAGGCGAACTTCCTCAATTGAATGCCCGATAGGACCTTGTCCGTCGCTTAAGCTTTGAGGCGGCGAATTGACGGAACCTTTTCTCTCGATCACCTTTCCAGGAAGCCAGGATGTTTCGTTGTGATGATGAGTCTCTGTCGGTTGAGTCGGTTGAATTGCTTGTTCTGCTTTCCATTTACAACTGGGGTCGTTGATTCACATGGCTTGACCAAATCCAGGGTGGTAGTGATAGGCCTGCCAAGGAACAGCCTCGCTGGTGATTTGCCATCAGGTGCACTTTGGTTGAGCGTCGACCGGTATACGGGACAGAAATGTTTGAAGATGTTCTTCTAACTTCTTTAGTCCTCGTTTCAGTGTGTCCACACGAACTGTCCGTCCATTGGACTGAGGATGGTATGCAGCAGACAGGATGTCTGGCCATTTTGAAAACGCGTCGATGATCAGGGAGTAGTAGAAACCTTCAATCGGACCAGCATAATCTATGTGGTCTCTATCCCATGGCAATTAGGTTAGGCCAATAGACGAAACTTTGTGCTGGAGAATGCGTCTTCGAAAGCGCTCGGGAACTGCGACTGTATCGCCGATCATGATGCAATTCTGCACAACTCGGCGATTGTTGAACAAATGAATCATCGATCGCCTTGGAATGATTGGACCATCCTCCATTAATGTGGAACACCACCGATTGGAGAGCAGGATTTCCGCAGCAATCATTCCACACGTCACGGGGAGACTTGAAGTACGACCGCTGAGAACGGCTTTGATATCAGCTTTCCATTAGTACAGAAGCAATCACATATTCCTCATCGGTTCTTATGTGGAATTTTATCAGTTGTGAAAGGAGGTCAGCGTATCCCATCCTCGTCACTAGATGTTACAGAATCCAATAAAAGACTGGTTGTTGGTTAACTAGGTCTTCGGTAGAAGGTATAACATAGTTGTGTCAAACAGCTTGATTATTCATAGGCTTCTAATATGTTCGTTTCATGTGGTTATTATGGAACAGTGAGATTTCTCATTTGCCTGTCTTAGAGGTTTCCCACCTTAGAGACGAAGCTCATCAACTGACTACCAGGTTGGACCTTGTTTGTCGGCTAGTTGCCTCTCTCTTTTACAAGTCCTAAAATTATCACCATCACGATCGGAACATTTTTCCAAATACCTTTAATTTTTCATCCGACGGCTTCTTCCAGAATTTCTTTTTACGGCTACCCTCGGGAGATTCGTATTTTTTCAACATCCCCGGACGTTTCTTCCGACTTCTAAGAAAAAAAATACCAAAATGACCCTAATAATTGCCTTAAGGGTCATCAAAACGCAGAGATTACATTTACCCAAAGTAGGTTTTGTGAACGTCAAAATATTGACCACCAAAATGACCAAAAATTGGTCGAAAAATTCCCAAATCAGATGGGCTCAAATCGCTCCCAAAAATTAAAACTATAAGCAGATCACCCAAGTAACGATTTTTGTTTTAGGATCTGTAGACCATGATTCACACTTGTAGAGTGCTATAAAACCTCTATAAAGCTTGCAATGGTACTTGGGAAATAGCGATGAAAACACCAGAATGGCTTTAAAAATCGATCGTCAGAATTAAATAATCGCCCAGTAATTTAATTAAAATCGACAGAAAAGTCTTAACCAAATAACAGACTGCTCTACCTTCTCAGAAATCTCACTAATTCGAAGGAAATGGGCAACTTCGGCTACTTTTCACAAACAGATTTCCAAAATTGTCCTGCGTAACTCGACATCAACCTCTATCCAATCGTCCGTTCCAATAGCGAGTTGGGCAGAGATGAATTAAGTTTAAACATCCTCGAAAATTCCCAAAGGCTAAAATCAATTTAAAACATTTTCAACCGGTCTCGAAAACGCTCAAGCAGGCTAAAAATTATATTTAATGGGTCTTAATTGCTTTAAATTTAAAATCATTCTTGTGAAAATAGAAGCACAAAAATTCGATCAAAAATTAATCCTCACCAATTGAAGAAAAAAAATCAATCCTCATAATATAACACTTCCAATTCTTACAAAGATTCAATCCAATCTTTGAAAACATGCCATCATGAAAACATTTCAAATTTGAACTTTAGATTCAAGCAGGCAATTGGATTTCGTTTCAAAATGATTCCACCTTTAGTACTCTGATTACAATCCTTCTTTGTACTTTCTGTCGCTTATCGCGAGTGCAACGAAACACCTGCTGTGAGTCACACGTTCTTTCGTTTAATCGTATGTAAATATAATAATATGTAACGTTCAATCCTCCCTTAGTGGAAGCCAAACTAACTCCCAATTGGTTGCTAAGCAAGACGAGCAGTAGGCCACTAACTGTGCCACTTGATAAAAATACAAACAAAAGCGAGGCTTTCCTCCGGAATGCTGTGACATTTTATCGCCTCAAGCAGTAGGATTATCCACTCTGTAAAATAATGCCTACTTCAAATGAAAAATTTGCTGAAGTACCGCTTCCTTGGATTCTCCCCACCGAAAAACACCTCAAGCAATCTCCAGTGCAGCCGACCGCCAGCCGCCTACTACGTTATTAAAAATATCTTCAAATGCGAAACAAACTAGGTTTATGGCCACAATAAAACCAAACGCCCCCACCGCCCCTAGAAAGAAATTCCGCGAACCCAAGCCACACTCCGGCGAAAACGAGGTCACTTCCTCATCCATCCACACAAGTGCCCAGCTACCACTCGGTGGCATCAATTAATAGAAGAAAAAACCCACACTCCACCAGCCATGGCACAATCTGCACAGGCGCCCTTCCTGGCGGCACCCAAACACAGCCCTCTCGCTCGTTCGTCATCTGCCAGCGTCGTCGTTGGGACCCCCCGAGCAAGATGTTTCCCTGCGCGTAAAAGAGTTTCACTTTCTCTCGTGCCCCAGAAACTCAATTCGTCGTGACGCCCATCACCGCCACCACCGGTGCGCTTTTTTCGCCGCTCCCTCGCCTTTTGTTTTACCACCACCGTCGCCCGCGGGATTTTTGCGCCCCCAAGGCGGCAGCGAAAAAAAAAACAGCCAACTGCGACGATGATTGATTTATGTTGCGGCGCTGTCATTCAAACACAAACACACAACTGAGTGAAACCGCAGCGCATTCGCCAGCGCCCGAGGAGAAAGATTTGCATTAGCTCATTTCAACCCCCCGCCCCACAATGAAAGTGAACTACTTTTCGACTGGGACCCTGCCGCTGCATCGCGCGCATGGCAAGCTTTTCTTCCCCGCATCAAACTGTCAACGGAAAGCGAAAGTGCTTGCTGCGATTTGAGCCCGCTTGCTGAGAAAATGTTGCAAAAACGAGCACACCGAATCGATCGCTAGGAACTTGCAACCAACCAACGCGCAGCACAAAGGTAACTGAGGAGAAGGAAAAATGAACTCGGAACCGGTACTTACAATTATTGCGATCTCCACCAAACAGCTGATGGTAGCGCAGAAAATCCGGTCGGCCACCGAAGTAGCGCCCGTTCTGGTTCAGCACCTCCCGGATCAGCTCCAGGCTGCTCACCACCAGACACTGACCCTGGCCAATTCGGATGCTGTACACATCGCCGTACTTCTTGGCCAGGGCCGAGAATCCCATGAACGGTGCCGGATACTGTCCGATTATGGCCGCACTACCCAACACTGGCCAAGGATAGGGTCCCGGTGCCTGAGGATATTCCACCGGCAGATCAACCTGCTGCTCGTCCAATTGTTGGTACTTTTTCGTGTAACGCGATGACTTCACTGTATGCACCCGCACCTTCCGATGCCACTCGTACAGAACTTTCAGATAACACACCACCGAAAGCAGGCTCATCAGAACCACCAAAATCAGTGTGTAGACCATCACGATCTCTTTCTTTTCGTTTGTTTTTTTTTTTTTATTAAGTCACTAATCACACTTTTCCAACTCTTTTCTCAAATCACAATTTTCAGCTCACTTGGATTTTCTGCGTTCCAATATCCGTTCTTAACTAGTCAACAACCGTAAAATAGAACTTTCAACATGTACAACAATCATTACACAACAAGAAAAAAAAAATTTGATTAACCTACCCCAAAAAAAAATTGGGATTCAATCCTGGGGGAACCCGCGCGCAAATGCAACAACAAAAAAGCACTAAAACAGAACAGGAAGCAACAAGTTAAATCTGGTATCTTAAGTGCGTGTAACAGCTAGACTGATCGATTCCGATCGCCCGCGATCGTTTAAATAGTTTGCCTCGCGCTCGTGCACTCGTAAACCGCCGATTCGCGCCTTCCAAGTCCAACTCTCGATCGAGCCGTGTGCCACCCAGCAGTGACCCGCTGCCGCAGTGCTCGCTCACAGAATCGTCCGGCTCAAGCTTTTGGCCCTGGTCGGGAGAGCCGGGAGAGCGGTGAGAGAGCCAGCGCGAGCGAAAATCATCAGGCCCGATCGAAGCGGGCCGGAAGAAAGCGGCCGCTTTTCCGAAGAAAGCATATTTCTTCTCGGCCAGGAAAAGCCTATAGAAAGAACTCCCGCTCGGCTCGCATTGCGCACAGGCGGACGGAGAGAAAGCATGATGAGAGGTGACTGATGATGGTGATGGGACTTGGGAGAGTGATTGCTGATTGGAGGATTTTTTGCTAACGGATGCGATCGATGCGCTGAGAGAGCCAAAGAGAAGTGAGAGAATTCATGCGACGGTGAGAATCGGATCGTGCATGCGGAAGATGAGAGAAGGATGATCGTTTTGCTCTTGCTGCTTGGATCCCGTAGAAACGGCGAAATTTCGATGGAGACGGGTGGTTGCTTGTTTTCGCTTGGTATGAATTAAATATTTGAATAAACTACTAAACTAAAGTGCATGGGCGAAGTAATGGAATAACTTACTAAATTATTGCACTACAATTGATAAGTCAAAAAAGAAAAAAAACGTTAATTAAAATTTGTGTTGGCATGATTTGTTTTTACCTGGTGTAGCCAATGGAGTGAAAATCGCTCGTAGAAGTTTCGGACGCCTATATAACAAACTCCAAATTTGCTTTGGGTTAGCTTTTAGCTAGAAGAGTCAATTTTTAGTCAATTTTACTCTACAAATTCGTTATTTCACTTACAAATTTGTAACCATTGCGTCACAAAGGCACAATATTTAAAAAAAAATATGCACCATGCTATCGAGCATTCAAGTAAATCTGTATAACACTTGCGGTGAAACCCACTGGGCAGACGATACGATTGCTGAATAAGGCGGAGTCACGGGTGATGGGCTGAAGGGTTCTGCGGTGCTTAAGGAACGGTCATCGTTCAGTCGAGCGTGTAGACCAGAAGTGAATGTGGAGCATAATTTTAACAGAAGTAAATCACCAATTCCGCCGATTCAGGACCTTTTCATTCAATCAAAATACTATCTGGTTGGCGAGTCAAGAACCTACGGTCTAGGTGGCGTTTGAGTTGCCTTGCCCTATACGTAAAGGGCTATCGTTCCTCTGGCTTCGGGTCATCATCACCAAGGAGGACGTCGTAAGTAAAGTAGAATTTAGCGCTTGTCCGACCGCCATCTCACTGTAATCACCGGTAGACTAACGTTTACATTAAAAAAAAATTGTGATGACAAGGGGTAGGTAACCCCGCACACCAATTTTGGGTCATCTTTTTTGTCAGTGTGCCGCAAGTATGCCGATTGTGCCGGTCATAGAGCAAGCTGCGATAGTTTGTAAAATACCCATCCCGGCAACCCGGTATTGCTGGCGCCTTGGTTTTGGTTTGAAATCGCAAGGATAAATTGGATTGAGGATGACGCGGGAAGTGGCGGGTGTGCAAAATTTTGGTGTTTTGCGATCCATAGGGTAATAAAAGTCCTGTGTTTTAGTGTTTTATAATGCCCGCAAAGGCAGACCAGAAACCTAGCCTTTCGACTGGAAAGACTTGGAACTGGTCGGGAGCATTGTTCGAGACCGACTTTAGAGGGTAATGAATGGACTTATTTAGTTTGTTTTGTGTGTATTTAGATCTATAAGTAAACTGCTGGTCTGAGTTCCTGTGGTATATTCAGCTGGGGGATGTTTGGCGGTTTCACCGACTTGGGTACCACATCGATATTCAGCCGCTTCATCTCCTCCAACGATCGATTCGAGTAGTGGGCTGACGCCAAATCCGGCCAGAACACTACGTCTTCGCCATTATGGTATTTCTTGATGAACGACGCAACTTCCGGCAGGCATTTCGTACTATAAATTTCCCCGTTCACGGCCAGTCCGGAGCGAAAGAAGAGTGGCTTTGACATCCCCTTCTTGCTGATTGTCAGCCACAGCAGCACCTTTTTGGGGAACTTGGTGTGTGAAATGAACTTCACCTTGGAGCTCACTTCCTTCGTGGGGGATGTAAAATACGAAGTGCCCTGCCAGTCGTTGCCATCCAGGGTGAGATAGGTCTCGTCGTCCTACACCACAACCACGTTGCGATTCGCCGAGAGAAACGAGTTGACCATCTTATTCAGCCACTGCTGCGTCATTGCCTGCAGCTCCGAAACCAGTGGACGTGACTTCCGCTTCCTGACATGTATATTCATGTTCGCCTTTTCACTGTTTGGCCGGTTGCACCGACCTCCCGGCCAAGCACACGCAGCGATGTAGCCATTTTTCCCTCGGTCTTCCTCTTCAACATCCTTTGGAGCTTCTTGTCGCTCAGGGTCGTCGGCCGTCCGGAACCGGCCGTTCTTTCGATGCTCTGATTGTTGTCTAATAGTGCCAAGATGTTGTAGATGCCGGAACGGGCGTATCCAGCGTCCACAAAGTGCCACACAATGTCCGTTTTCGACGCGGTGGGGTGCCGTTCTTTGAACGCGCACACTTCTGAACGGAGTTGCTTCACTGTTTTTGCCATCACGGTTAGAGTTCGGCTGATAGAGCTGTCAAATTTTGTCTGCTGACTCATGGGTTACTATGATTGATGCTGCATGGGTAGTTTCGTCAGTGCGGGTAAAGGTGAACCCATGAAAAATTGACAATTTTTGTCCATTTTTTAAATGCAAACGTTAGCCAGTGGTACCTCTATCTTTCCGACAAGGTCAGCCTTGCATCATCCACCATTTCCAGATTTGTTCCTGAATCTCAGCGAGCGGTGGTACCGCCATCTTGCCGACAAGATCAGCCTTTCATCGTCTGCCATCGACGGATTCGAGCAGCGAGTGCTGCAGTCGTAGTAGTCGTCACCGTCGCCAAAGGTATGTGCCAAAAAAACGACTACCCCTACACAATTTGAAGAAATACAGTATTTAAGTTGATCCGCTTTGTGTTTCAGTTAATTTGAAAGCTTGAGTGCCCTGCCTCGCAGTTCTTGGTACTGCCCTGAAATAAATGGAGCTGTCCGTAAAATCTTCAAACATCTCTGGACTGCTCAAGAGCTCTCTGGACCTCCCTGAAAGATCTAGAACTTCTGAGAGCATTGGAGCTGTTATAAATTTATCAAAACTAACCTTTACAGATCTTTAAACTTCCCCGAAAGTCTGAACTACCCATAAGTTACTAGAATTGCCCATTTGATCTCTGAGCTCCTCTATAGGCCTAGCTTCCTTGAGGTTCTTGGATCTTCAATTAGTTTTATTCAAGTGCGCTGAACTTCATGAAGAGTGTCCTTGGAGTTCTCCGGATATCCCTGAAGTTCTTTAATTTTCTTAAAAGATTCTACAGTTTCCCTGGTGTCCCACATCAAATTGCATCACGGAAAAAAAACGCTGTAGAAAATTACCTAGTTGACCGATCTTTTTCAAACTTTCAGAGCATAAAACATAACCCATTAATAAGCTTTTGGCATATTTATTTCATTCATCTTGAATACCATAACCGTACGCTCGCACCATACGCTTAACTCCACTCATTAGGTTCGGTACAACATCTGGCTGCAGCTTCTTCTGTACGGAAACCCACTTTTTCTTGATGTCTTCCTCAGATTTGACCAGCTTAGGATGCTTCCGTAGTGCCTGCTTCATAATAGCCCAGTATTTTTCGATAGACCTTAGTTCCGGTGAGTTGGGGTTCATGTCTTTGGGTACGAAAGGGACCCCGTTGGCTTCGTATCACTCCAGGAAAGCATTTGAATAGTGGCACAAAGCTAGATCCGGCCAGAAGATCGTAGGGTCCTCGTATTGCTTCAACAGAAGAAGCAGACGCTTCTGTAGACACTCCTTGAGGTAGATCTCCCCGTTTACAGTCTCGGTAGTCACGTACGGCGCACTCCGTTTGCCACATGAGCAGATCGCTTGCCAAATCATGTAACTTTGAAAGCTTCTGCTTCCTTACTTCCTCCGGAACATCAAACTTGTGCTGGGCGGTGAAGAACAGTAGCCCCTGAAGCTGCCGGAAGTCCGCTTTGACGTAAGTCTCATCACCCATGATGAGACAATGAGGCTTCGTCAGCATGTGGGTGTACAGTTTCCAGGCCCGTGACTTTTCCACCGTATTTTGCAGTTCGTCACGATTTGGAGCCTTCTGCACTTCGTACGTATGCAGTCCCTTCCGGTCCTTGGCTCTCTGAACGAAAGACTTACATACCTGACCGAAGCATTGGGATTCCGCTTAAACGCTTTCACGACACGCTTGTGATCCTGAGCACTAATAAAACATCCATTCTGACCGCATTTCACCTTCCGCTCGATGCTCAGAGTTTCGTAAAAACGTTTAATCACACAACTCACCGTTGACTGTACGATTCCGAGTTGGTTTCCGATGTCCAGGTGCTTGCGCAAAATTAATTCGCGACGCTGCTTTTCGGGTGACGCCATTTTCTCGAACTTTCGAAAAACTGACAGCGATAAAAATACAGTGTAAACAATACACTCTAAACTACATCTACTCAAATTTTCAAGAGAAAATACCCAATGAGTAATTAGCTATTTATGGATGAATTGCAAGTCTTACCACGCCATTTGATTGAAATTAGAGGTAAGATTAATTTGGTATAAATATTATAGTAGGTTATTATTGGTAAGCTACTACAAATTGATCCAACTATCAGGCCGTAATCAACCAATCACGTGCATGTATGCTATGACTATTGAAAGAACAGCGAAGTTATAAAAGAACGTACCTGTACGTTTT